TGCAGCAGCATACAATACATTTTGGGACTAACCTTGTTGTGCTGTGCTCACTTGAACAGGAAGCTGGCGCGGCGGGCCTTCTTGGGCAAATGTTGTCATCAAACTTTGTCATCAAAGTCTGGCATTCTCTGGATTTATGGTGCTTTCAAGACAACTGGGAACTCTGAAAAAACAAGGTTGAATCATGACGTCAGTGATCTTTAGGTCGGAACTCTAGAAAGAGGCCAGAGTTCCCGACTTGGAATTCCGAGTTGGATGACCGTATTTTCTCAGTTGGAGCTCGTTTTTCTCAGAGTTCCCAGTTGTCTTGAACAACTGAAGTCTGAGATTTCACAGTTACGAGTTTCCAGTTGTTTTGAAGTGGCAGAAGTCATGCTGGATTGACAGCATGGCCAATGTATTCAACCTTTTATGGCCCATGATGTTGAATGTTTATCCTTTTAATCTTGGAAAAGAGACCCTTAAACCAAGACTTGGACCACACACCCACTCCACTGAATAGCAGGCTAGTGAATGCTTTGCAATGCTTGCAGTTAGCCACTGATTCCTTCATTCCAAACCACTGTTGAATTTGCGATTTCCAACTTGTGTAATGTTTATGTCCAATGGCCGATGAGCACCGATACGTTTTATCTATAATTTCTCTTCATATGACAAGGATTGAAAAGGATTTTCCAGTGACGGTCGACTTGATTCATGATGATGACTGCTAGGTTGCTAGCTAAGATTTTGAAAGTATGATGTTGACATGATCAGTCCAATCAAAGCTACGGTAGATATAACGTGATTTGAAGCCACTTTATCTGTGGCCAATGACCTTGAGCCTTCTTGGATGGGCACTTCTAAAGTAATTCTATTGCAGCACCCAAGGGGCTTGAATTTTCTAGCTCTACCCATAGATTTTGTGGTGACATAGTGTCCCCATGAGTGACAGAACACTGAGCCAATCATGGCTTGCAAACTGATATGTGACACGTTTTAATGCCAAAATAACATGCAAAACAGGGATAAAAAAAAAAAAAAAAAAAAAAAAATATATATATATATATTTTTTTAGCTAAACAGGTGGGGCTCAAAACAGGTGGAGCTCTGCCCCACCTGCCCTGAATGACGGGTCGCCACTGCTGGTGGACCATTCTTGATACAGGGGAAACTGTTGAGCGTGAAAAACACATTAAATTCTTGACACATTAAAACCGGTGCGCCTGGCACCTACTACCATAACCCATTCAAAGGCACTTACATTTTTTTTGTTTTGCTCATTCACCCTCTGAATGGCAAACATAGACAATCCACGTCTCAATTGTCTCAAGGCTTAAAAATCCTTCTTTAACCTGTCTCCTCTCCCTTCATCTACACTGATTGAAGTGGATTTAACAAGTGGCATCAATAAGGGATCATAGCTTTCACATGGATTTACCTGGTCAGTCTATGTCATGGAAAGAGCAGGTGTTCCTAATGTTTTGTACACTCTGTGTAGTTCATATCATTATGTCATAGATACAGTTAGGTCATATCCAAACCACTCTGTGAAGGGTATGCAAAATGTCTTACAAACTGTCAAATGTGTGTAATGAAAGTTGTAACATATAGTTTGGATGTAACATACAGTCCTAACTCCCCAAAATATTCTTACACATGTAGTTAGCCCTAGGACTATCAAACATAGGCAAACATAGGCATACTGTAGATTAGAACCAATTAAGAATATTAGATACTCCTTACGCAGACTCCAAGTGCAACCCATCATCCCCACCACCTCCCTCAGGTAGTCCTCCCCAAACCAATATTTACCATGGCCTCAAAGTCAACGTGTTGGTCAACCAGGGCTTTGGAAATCTGTGCAGATTGCTGGATGTGAACATTGTCTACAAGAAAAATAAACTGTTTGTAATATCTTATTGAACAAGGAAATATATGCATCTGTCAAATACCATTAAAACCTATTTTGAGTAAGATCAGGAGCACTCACCTGTTAATGGCTGTAGTGAGGACTGTATTCTATACATTATAAATGAAGAATACAGCATTGTGTGTGAGTGCGTGATTGATTAGCATGTAAAATATTTAACTGAAACAGAGACACATACCATCAGCTGTCCCATGAACCAGGATCTGATTTGAAATTCTGTGCTCTAGTTGTTACTGTGGAATTCTGTTGAATAGAAAGTTGTTTTTATGTAGACACCGTTAAAGTTGACATGCAATAGATTATTTGATGAATAAGAGGGACACTGTGATGTTTCTGATGTCTTTATCTTGTAAGAGTCAGCATTCATCTCCGGTTTACTCATATAGCCTTCAGTATACACGAGTCTGGAAAAGGAATATCCAGCTAGTGACTGTACTCATATAAGGTGAAACAAACACAGCCTTTTGAAGTTTATGCATTACTAAATGCATGTTCTTATGGTATTTCACCTGTTGTATGATTATACACCCTGATACGTAACATAACATCTGCTGCTAAGGCCACTTTCTACCACTCTAAATTCCAAGCATCTGCCTCTAACCCTAGGAAGCTCTTTGCCACATTCTCCTCCCTGCTGAATCCCCCCCCCCCCCCCCCCCCCCCCCACCATCCTCCCTCTCTGTGGATGACTTCGTCAACCATTTTGAAAAGAAGGTTGACGACATCCGATCCTCGTTTGTTAAGTCAAATGACACTGCTGGTCCTGCTCACACTGCCCTACCCTATGCTTTGACCTCTTTCTCCCCTCTCTCTCCAGATAAAATCTTGCGACTTGTGACGGCAGGCCGCCCAACAACCTGCCCGCTTGACCCTATCCCCTCCTCTCTTCTCCAGACGATCTCCGGTGACCTTCTCCCTTACCTCACCTCGCTGATCAACTCATCCTTGACCGCTGGCTATGTCCCTTCCGTCTTCAAGAGAGCGAGAGTTGCACCCCTTCTCAAAAAACCAACACTCGATCCCTCTGATGTCAACAACTACAGACCAGTATCCCTTCTCTCTTTTCTCTCCAAAACTATTGAGCGTGCCGTCTTTAGCCAACTCTCTTGCTATCTCTCTCAGAATGACCTTCTTGATCCAAACCAGTCAGGTTTCAAGACTGGTCATTCAACTGAGACTGCTCTTCTCTGTGTCACGGAGGCTCTCCGCACTGCTAAAGCTAACTCTCTCTCCTCTGCTCTTGTCCTTCTAGACCTGTCTGCTGCCTTTGATACTGTGAACCATCAGATCCTCCTCTCCACCCTCTCCGAGCTGGGCATCTCCGGCGCGGCTCACTCTTGGATTGCGTCCTACCTGACCGGTCGCTCCTACCAAGTGGCGTGGCGAGAAGCTGTCTCCGCACCACGTGCTCTCACCACTGGTGTCCCCCAGGGCTCAGTTCTAGGCCCTCTCCTATTCTCGCTATACACCAAGTCACTTGGCTCTGTCATATCCTCACATGGCCTCTCCTATCATTGCTACGCTGACGATACACAACTAATCTTCTCCTTTCCCCCTTCTGATAACCAGGTGGCGAATCGCATCTCTGCATGTCTGGCAGACATATCAGTATGGATGACGGATCACCACCTCAAGCTGAACCTTGGCAAGACGGAGCTGCTCTTCCTCCTGGGGAAGGACTGCCTGTTCCATGATCTCGCCATCACGGTTGACAACTCCGTTGTGTCCTCCTCCCAGAGTGCGAAGAGCCTTGGTGTGACCCTGGACAACACCCTGTCGTTCTCCGCTAACATCAAGGCGGTGACCCGATCCTGTAGGTTCATGCTCTACAAAATTCGGAGAGTACGACCCTGCCTTACACAGGAAGCGGCACAGGTCCTAATCCAGGCACTTGTCATCTCCCGTCTGGATTACTGCAACTCGCTGTTGGCTGGGCTCCCTGCCTGTGCCATTAAACCCCTACAACTCATCCAGAATGCCGCAGCCCGTCTGGTGTTCAACCTTCCCAAGTTCTCTCACGTCACCCCGCTCCTCCGCACACTCCACTGGCTTCCAGTTGAAGCTCGCATCTGCTACAAGACCATGGTGCTTGCCTACGGAGCTGTGAGGGGAACGGCACCTCCGTACCTTCAGGCTCTGATCAGTCCCTACACCCAAACGAGGGCATTGCGTTCATCCACCTCTGGCCTGCTGGCTCCCCTACCTCTGCGGAAGCATAGTTCCCGCTCAGCCCAGTCAAAACTGTTCGCTGCTCTGGCACCCCAATGGTGGAACAAGCTCCCTCACGACGCCAGGACAGCGGAGTCACTCACCACCTTCCGGAGACATTTGAAACCCCACCTCTTTAAGGAATACCTGGGATAGGATAAAGTAATCCTTCTACCCCCCCCTTACCCCAACCCACCCCCCTCCCCCCTAAAATAAAAAAAAAAAAATATTTGTAAAGTGGTTATCCCACTGGCTATAAGGTGAATGCACATATTTGTAAGTCGCTCTGGATAAGAGCGTCTGCTAAATGACGTAAATGTAAATGTAATAATATTCCCATTTAGCTACTGGGGCAACTGCTATTCCACACTTGAAAACTCCACTTCCAGCAACCAAAGCCATCAACGTGACAAAGCCACCATATGACTGAAAAACAGATGATTTCAAACCACATCAGTTAGAGTTTAATTTACCAATTATTTACGACAACACATTTATAAGAAATATAGACAAAATCTAAGAGAATATCCAATTGACGAAACCCCATATGACTATTCATTCTTTGTCTATAAAGCCCATGTCAATGAATTTTCTAGTAACAAAAAAACTAAACATCTTTATTTGATCTGCTCTAGCTACGGTATTATGGCATTCAAGTGTTGATCTCATCAGAATCAAAAACTGATGAGAGCAGATTACATTGATGAGACCTTTTTCAAGAGCAACAGATAGCCCACTTTGGGATACTCCCAATTTGCATTAATTATCAGATATGAATACATTGCCTTGTATTTTTTTTTGTACATATTGTTAAACAGATGTTATACTTGACACACTGAGGACTCTGTAGTTCAATGGCATTTTACCCCACGGACGTTATTTAATCTTCCACCTTAAATGTTCCAAGACGTTGGTAGATGGAGTGCATTATTTTCTCACACTGGTAACCGCTTCCCCGTCCATCGAAACTGGCCACTATGATCCCCTTCGTACTGGAGAGGTACGAACCCCAGTTCAGTCTGTAGCGATAATCTGTCTTCTGACTACAGGGGCCTCCATATCTGCAAGGGAAATCAGTATATAACTTCACACAACTTGACCAATTACAGCTATATTGTAATATAATGTACTGGATCTGGAGGCAGTAAAGTGAAGTGAAATGGATGGGGTAATCAATTCTCTGCAAATCCTCTTTTAAGATGCTTAGGCCTGTATACTTACACATCAATTAGAAGAAGGTACTTTTCGTTTTTTGGGAAATTAGGGGGTAACATCGTTTGATACCAAAGATCTGTTGGCAACAGGTAGTGAAACATGAGATATACATTTGATTTTGCATGGTATGATTTGATCTGCCAGTCTGTAAAACTTCAGACTCACCAAATTCTGCTACCCTCAGGGTCCCACGCTGCATGGTTGGCATTTGGAATTCTTGTAGCATGTCTTCAAGATTTTTGATGTCATGAAGAACCAGGAGCTCTAAAACAAAACTTCTTTATCAATTAAAATCAGAGGTTGACCCGTTTATGGTAAAGATTCATGAACCTGAGTATTGGTCAGTTACAAAGAGTATCTTCATAGTAGTGGTACTTTTTGCATTCCTTCACCTGAGCCTCTATCACCACTGAGTGTGAACAAAGGTGTTCCAGGTCCTGTTAAGAAACAATCAGCACACACATTATGGTATAACATAACGTAGGCTAATTGTTCACCACATAACCTCAGGTACTAACTGACCTGGAGGTCAGAGGTCAGAACTGAGACTGTGGCTATGTCCCAAATTGCACCTTATTCCCTATGGGCCCTGGTCAAAAGTAGTGCACTACATAGGGAATAGGATGTTATTTGGGACACTTTGTATCACTCATTGATATTGCGAACAACAGTTATTTTTGTGCGTTGATCATGGAAGGGTTAGTGCTCAGGGTGTGAATGGGGAATGGGGTAACTGACCATAGCAGTCCATGCGGTAGTAAGAGGCATCGTAGCTGAAGTAGGCTGAGTTGTACTGACACCTGTCCTTATACAGGCCACAGGTGAGGCACTGGGGAGCAGAGTGGCTGCTTCCGATCATAACACTGACAAACAGAAAAACAAACACAGGTTCATACGAGTTAACATCTCTGTCTGAATGATGAACGATTTAACATCCCTTCATGATTTATTTGGTATTCAGGATTATGAATTTAGAGAAACCACTTGAATTGAAATATCCATGGGGGGTTATGAGAAACACATTAAAGACAATGTGGTCATAGTGATAGATAAATAGTCGGTTTACTCTATTTTGTTATCTAATTAAGTGAAATGGATTTTCACTTACATAGCGCCTTTGGTGAGTTTAGAAATGTAGATGACCTCCCATTTGCCTGAGGTAATGGGTGTTGCCTTGCCCTTTGGAATGATATACTTCCATAGGTATTGAATTCTGATATTGCTAACATTTAGTAGACTGGAATCAATCATTCAAATCTGCACATTTGAATGAATACCAGCCCTAGTCTTTCTTATTTGTTCATATTGCTAAAAGAAAAAAAGAAGTTTATTTTAATACATTTATCAAGACAAAATATCCTATTAGCCTATACAGTTTCAGAATGATTCACACAGCAACATTCCTGGTGTTAATGTTGGAAAACACATGGTTCTCTGTTCTCTGAGTGCTGTTGTTTACCAAGGAGCCCACCCACAGAGTCTGGGGTGAGGTGACAACTACCTGGTTCTCATTCCAGTTGTTTCCGTCAAAGTCATACATCTGTAAAAGGACATGGTTCTGCTTCCTCTTGGTCCACTGAACATCTCATCCGTCATCCATGTGACTGATCTCAAATAGTGATCACTGGGAGAAAAACAACACAAAGCGACCGGTTTATATCACACTTTTTACATGTGAATAGCTATGATGATACTTTACTATTTCAACCGAAATCAATGTATATGAAAGTATGACATGATACTGTACCCTGCACCAATGGAATCTGGCACCACCACCTGTGTCCACCACAAACAGCTTTGCCTTAGAATTTGTTGAGCCAGAAGATAGGAGATAACATGAATAACAAAAATGATGAGCATTCTTTCAGGGTACAAAACATATAATTCACATACTGTATTTACTGTGTACAATGTACAACACACACATAATGTGTGATCATGGTATATATTTTACCTATTACCTGCTATCTGTGGTATATCTCTCATTCATACCATGCTTTAAAAAGGGCACATATTACAACATCCCACCTTAGGGTATGGGACAACCACTGTTCTGGGGTATTGTTCATATCCATACAAAGAGTTCTCGATCGTGTGGACCTCTGTGTCATTAAACCCAGCCAGATACTTTCCAGTTGGTGACCACCATATTGCCTCATTCGATGAGAAAACCTCCTCTGAAAAAAGTGGAAGAAATCAAGTTACTCAAAAGCCTTGTGTGTGATGAAACCCACCTCGTCCCTTCCCTCTAAAATGGGTCAATGTTACTCAGTACTCACCCTCATATGCCCAGTCAGGGGCACCGTTAACAATCTGATGATCCTCTCCATTATGGATCACTTGCATTGCTTTAGCAGTGCTGTTGGGTTTCAAATAAATGTTGGCATTCCAGACGTAAGCCTGACAGAGAGAACAGCTGTCAAGTTAATGTCAGCATTCCATTCTCTTTAGTTTATACTAGAGATCCCCTACTGGGATTTCCTCCACAGTGGTTTTAATGCCCTGGAATCCTACTCCAGATTATTTGGGTTGGTGCAGCAGCTATTCCCAACATTTTTTGCATGTTTATCTCTCAGGACCATTGCCCATACTTGACATGGGAGAGAGAGAGCACATCTGGTGTTTGGGTTAAAGATAAGATGCGCCTTTGGCATCAGGATATCAGGGCCTGCTCAGAGAAAGCAATTGTAAGCAAAGCCTCAGTAGAGTAAGGGCCTACTGCTCCATATGATGTCATAGTCTGGTCAGCTTACTGATGTTAGTCAGTAGAGCAAAGTTTTATCGAAGTGTATGAAAGTGTATTCTTATGTGTGTGTGGTGCGGGGAATGAAAATGGAAATGCACGTTTCTGAGAACCGGAGGAAACGCCATAAGAGAACTGGAGGAATATCCATAAGAGAACCGGAGGAATCTCCATAAGAGAACCGGAGGAAACTCCATAAGAGAACCGGAGGAAACTCCATAAGAGAACCGGAGGAAACTCCATAAGAGAACCGGAGGAAACTCCATGAGAGAAGTGGAGGAAACTCCATAAGAGAAGTAGAGGAAACTCCATAAGAGAAGCAGAGGAAACTCCATAAGAGAAGCAGAGGAAACTCCATATCAAGGGAAATTTATTCATTTTATGAATAAGTCCAAAGACCACCCACTATATCTTAGCTAACCCTTTACGGGTGGTAGACTGTAACACATTACACTATACCTCAGTTAATCCTTTATGGGCGGTAGACTAAATGTTGGGTTAAGTTCTAAGTTTCTATGCACTTGACAGAGCGAAGGACGTAAGTGAAGCCCATCTGATGATAATTATGATTTTGTTCAATTTATTGAACAGAGTGGAGTAATGGATCTCTAAAAAGTCCACATTGGTAGTTAAAGTGAAGGATTACATTGAAACTTTAGCTGGAGGAAACTCCAACATGGTTGCTGAAGTGAAAGATTAAATTGAAGCCTTAGCGGGGAGGAAACTCCATCTGTAGCTCATTGCTATGAGCAGGGGGTGATAGACTTTGGAGAAGCCCCAATCTAATGATGACTCTGTTCAATTTATTGAACTGAGTGGAGTGATGGATCTCTAAAAAGTCCAAATATGTAGTTAAAGTGAAGGGTTTAACTGAAACGTTCGCTGGAGGAAACTCCAACATGGTTGCTGAAGTGAAATATTAAATTGACGCCTTAGCGGGGAGGAAATTTCATATGTAGCTCATTTATGAGCTGAATAGCACGGTTGCTAGGGTGAAAACTGTGGTTGAAGCCTTAGCTGGAGGAATTGTTGCATTTCCATTGTTGTTTTCATTGCACTTGCAATCCGTAACATCTATGAATCACATTATTATTATGAATAGTCTTAACGTCAAATGGGAGAACCAAGGACACAGGTGGTTCCTAATGTTATGCGATTCTCGCTAGTGTTTACAGAACAACTGGTTCTGAGAGATTAGGATCAGGACCTGCAATTGTAACAGTAAGCAACTGTAACAAAATGGATGACTGCAGTGTAGCTGTTATTATGTATACATGTTGCATGGATTGCTAAGGCATAAGAATATGAAAGTGTGTATTCTTATTTTAAATGTATGTAGTTCTGTACCTGTCTATTAATGTTATGTATTATGTCATGTTATGTAGTTCTGTCCTTCAGCTGTAATTGACTATTAATGTTATGTATTATGTCATGTTTTATGTTTTGTGTGGACCCAGTGTCACGATCGTCGGGTACAGAGGACCAAGGCGCAGCGTGGAAGGTGAACATATTTTATTAATTTGAATGATAACACGAACAAAAACAACAAACGATAACGTGACGTCCAAAGGTGCAAAACACAAACCTATACAGGAACAAGATCCCACAAATACTGTGGAAAAACAGACTGTTTAAATATGGTTCCCAATCAGAGACAACCAGCAACAGCTGACACTCGTTGCCTCTGATTGAGAACCACTCTGGCCAACATAGAAACACAATAACTAGAACACCCTAGAAACACAAAACTAGAACACCACAAAGAACACTCACACCCTGGCTCAACATACAAGCGTCCCCAGAGCCAGGGCGTGACAGTACCCTCCCCCAAAGGCGCAGACTCCGACCGCGCCAACAGAACACCACAGGGGAGGGACCGGGTGGGCACTCCGCCTTGGCGGCGGATCCGACTCCGGGCATGATCCCCACTCCCTCTCTAACCCCCCACAGTACCCCTGGTCCGGTCTGGCCCTGCTGGCCGGAGCTGGACTCAACACTGGTGGAGCGGATTGCACTAGCTCCAGCGTGGAGCAGCTGACCGGTGCCGGACCAGGCACCGGTGGAACAGGCACAAGCTGTGCCGGACTGACGACGCACACCACTGGCTTGGTGTGGGGAGCAGGAACAGGCCGAGCCGGGCTGGCGACGCGCACCATTGGCTTGGTGCGGGGAGCAGGAACAGGCCGGGCCGGGCTGGTGACGCGCACCATTGGCCTGGTGCGGGGAGCAGGAACGGACCGGGCCAGGCTGGCGACGCACACCATTGGCTTGGTGCGGGGAGCAGGAACAGGCCGGGCCAGGCTGGCGACGCGCACCATTGGCTTGGTGCGGGGAGCAGGAACAGGCCGGGCCGGGCTGGCGACGCGCACCATAGGCTTGGTGCGGGGAGCAGGAACAGGCCGGGCCGGGCTGCGACGCGCACCATTGGCTTGGTGCGGGGAGCAGGAACAGGCCGGGCCGGGCTGGCGACGCGCACCATAGGCTTGGTGCGGGGAGCAGGAACAGGCCGGGCTGGGCTGGCGACGCGCACCATTGGCTTGGTGCGGGGAGCAGGAACAGGCCGGGCCGGGCTGGCGACGCACACCATAGGCTTGGTGCGGGGAGAAGGAACAGGCCCGACTGGGTTGGCGACGCGCACCACAGGCTCGGTGCGAGGGACAGGAACAGGCCGGACCGTACTGGGGACACACACCACTGGCCCCACGCGGGGATCAGGAACGGGCCGGACCGGACTGGTAACACACCCCAGTACCTCTCGCCGTGCCTCTACACTTTCCTTCCCCTTTGTGACCAGCAACCCCCGTAACCTGGCGGCCTCCTCTGCCAACCCACTGGACCGCTCTATCGCGGCCTCCTGCTGCCCCGTCGTCCACGGCGTGAGCCCCCCCCTAAAACATTTCTGGGCGGCTCTCCTCTTGGACCAGGCCTCCATGTCTCTAGCCAGACACTCACTCCACTGCTTCAAAGTCCAACCTCTCTGCTCTTCACTTGACTTGGCCCAGTCGAGACTCTTACTCCACTGCTCCAAAGTCCAACCTCTCTGCTCTTAACTTGGCTTGACCCAGTCGAGGTTGCAACGGAGATCCGCTAGAGATTCCCCTGGCGATGGCTCCTGGACACGCTGCTTGGTCCAGTTTTGGTGGGATCTTCTGTCACGATCGTCAGGTACAGAGGACCAAGGCGCAGCGTGGAAGGTGAACATATTTTATTAATTTGAATGATAACACGAACAAAAACAACAAACGATAACATGACATCCAACGGTACAAACCCATACAGGAACAAGATCCCACAAATACTGTGGAAAAACAGACTGTTTAAATATGGTTCCCAATCAGAGACAACCAGCAACAGCTGACACTCGTTGCCTCTGATTGAGAACCACTCTGGCCAACATAGAAACACAATAACTAGAACACCCTAGAAACACAAAACTAGAACAACACAAAGAACACTCACACCCTGGCTCAACATACAAGCGTCCCCAGAGCCAGGGCGTGACACCCAGGAAGAGTAGCTGCAGCTTTGGCTGTAGCTAATGGGAATAAAAATCAAAAAACGAAATAATTTCAAATAGAACATATGTTATATTCTGATTTCTCAAATTGTTCTGTTGTTGTTTGATATTGTCCATGGATAGACTTCACTTTGTATTTTATAGTGTATACACATTGTCAGAACGCTGAGTGTGGATGTGGTGCAGGGAATCAAGCGCAGGAACAAGGGTGTTCGTCAACAGACTTTAGTAATCCAAAATAGTAACTCCAAACAGGTGAAGAGCCAACCCAACCGGGAGGCATGAACAAATTACGCACACACACAACAGTGCGTAAAACAAGAAAAGGCGCACGCAGTGCGGACTCTCGACACAAACAACACGAGAGAGAAAAACCATCAACAGCAACAGCTGACATAACAATCACACATAACACCTGCCCCCAATACACGATAACTAAATAGGAAACAAAATCAAACACTAACAAGGGACAGGTGTACAAACAGACAAAACCAAACAAACATGAAACATCGAACGGTGGCAGCTAGTACTCCGGGGACGACGACCGCCGAAGCCTGCCCGAACAAGGAGGAGGAGCAGCCTCGGCCGAAACCGTGACAGTACCCCCCCCTTGACGCGCGGCTCCAGCCGTGCGCCGATCCCGGCCTCGGGGACGACCAGGACGACGCGGAGCAGGGCGCGTAGGATGACCCCGATGGAACTCGGTCAGCAGGGACTGGTCTAATATGTCCCTCCTCGGCACCCAGCACCGCTCCTCCGGGCCGTACCCCTCCCACTCCACGAGATATTGGAGACCCCCCATCCGGCGTCTCGAATCAAGGATGGACCTCACAGTGTACGCCGGAGCCCCCTCGATGTCCAACGGGGGCGGAGGAGTCTCTTCTATCTCATAGTCCTGGAGTGGACCAGCTACCACCGGCCTGAGGAGAGACACATGGAACGAGGGGTTAATATTCCTGTAATCAATAGGCAGTTCTAACCTGTAACACACCTCGTTCAACCTCCTCAGGACTTTGAATGGCCCCACAAACCGCCGACCCAGCTTCCGGCAGGGCAGGCGGAGGGGCAGGTTTCTGGTCGAGAGCCAGACTCGATCTCTAGGTGCGTACACAGGCCCCTCACTGCGGTGGAGATCGGCGC